AATGGTGTATGAACCAATCATTAGTCACCGGCTACCATGGGATTGCATCTCCTTACGATGCTCCACTGTCTTGTGGGTTAGACCTTTAGGTCGAAGGCTCCGGGTGTGGCCCCCTGAGAAAACCAACTGCTTCGGTTTGGGCACCCGGGCAGTATCACAGCCCTCACACATATCAAATGAGATTTGTGTGGTGCATATGTATTTGGTGCCTCCTTGTACCAATATCTATGTTAGATAATAAATAAATAATCATAGTAATCACATCGTGTCACGTTAATGTAAGTCATCTCTTGGCTTACGCAAAGATGATCTCCGTCAAAATCTGTTACGGAAATGAACACTAGTAAAAAGATAAGACTTACCGATTCTTCCCGGGATTAAATATGGCCCTAAAAAGATCCTGTTCAGTAAACACCATTAGGTTTTGGCATTTTCTGGGTATTTTTATTTTTATTATTTTATTTGAACACAAATATTGGTACAAGAGAGCGCCAATATATATGCGCCACACAAAACAATGAGAATTCGAAGAGAAAGAAAAAAGTAAGGAGCGTAAAAAAGAGCACGATAACGAAGAGCTGGACGGCCGTTTCGTCCTGGTATGGGACTCCTCAGCAGTGCGCATCCACGATCCCGCACCACGCGGGGCTCGCGCGCGAAGCCATTAGGTCCTGGGTTCGAGCCCCGCGTGGTGCGGGATCGTGGATGCGCACTTCTGAGGAGTCCCATACCAGGACGAAACGGCCGTCCAGTGCTTCCAGGTTTTCAATGGTGGTCTAGCTTCAACTGACTCATGATTTCAACCTGTGTAATTTCTAAAACTCTCCACAAAACCCATTCTGATAATAACGAAGAGGTTGGTGTAAGGTAGTGTAGTAATAATAATAGTAATAATGAGGGAACGGAAAGGTACAATCAGAAGAATTCCTTCAGTTAAGGGAGTTACAACCACTTGTTATGAAGAAAGTAAAAGAAGGTTACAGCAGGATCGCCACTGGCTTCTATTCTGAGCCATATCTGATAACGTCTCTAGCCACTGTGTAGCACCATCTCTCGGACCCCAACCAGGGAGTCGTGAAGGACCAACACAAGCCAGTCCTTTGCAGCTTTCTTTCATACCACGACACCATGTCATGCACTGACCACCTCTCCGCTTTTTCCAACCAGTCCCAGAGTCGGCAAATAATGCACGACGTGGAATTCTCTGGGACGACATTCGGAGAACATGTCCAAGCCACCGAAGTCGGTGTTTCAAGATGGTGACACCAATTGATTATCATCTCTGTGCCCGAACACACGATGCCGAACCTCTGCATTACTGACATGGTGTTGCCACTGAATGTCAGCAATCCTTCGGAGACAGCGATGATCGAACACAGAGAGTCGTCTAACGTCCTCAACTCGGAGGGCCAGGTTTCACAAGCATAGAGCAAAACTGCTCTCACCGACGCGTTGTAGATCCGACCTTTTACAGCCAGACTAACATCACGAAGGCGCCAAAGGTGGCCCAGATTGGCATAAGCCGCTCTGGCTTTCACTATTCGTGCATTGATCTCATCACTCACACCCCCACCAGCACTTATGCAGCTACCCAGATACACGAACTTCTCGACTACGTCTATCTGCTCACCATCCAGGGTGAGTACAGGATTAGAATCCTGCCAGTCTTGTAGAAGTACTTTGCACTTCGAAGGTGCAAAGCACATACCATACCTACGGACACTGATTGCCAACTGATTAAGTGCGGATTGCATGCCTTGGGCATTATCGCACAGTAAGACAATATCGTCCGCATACTCAAGGTCGAGAAGTCTTTCTCCAGGCAACAGATCCACACCACCATTACTTACATTCATCAGAGCTGTTTCCAGAATGTCATCGATGGCAAAGTTGAAGAGGAATGGTGAGATTGGGCAACCCTGCCTAACCCCACTGCTCGAATGGAACAATGGAGAGAGGTGGTTGTATGCCCTCACTCTGCCTGAGGTGTTTTTATATAGGGCTTTTAGGATGTTAATAAACTTCTCAGGCACACCCTTCTTCAATAGACAATCCCAGAGAACAGTCCTGTCCAACGAATCGAAGGCAGCCCTGATGTCAAGAAACACTACGATTGTTGGCCTTTGAAAGTATGGCGGTGTTCTAACATTTGGCGGAGGGTGAAGATATGATCAATACATCCTCGACCAGAACGAAACCCAGCCTGCTCCTCGCGAGTCAATCTTTCTCGGGTTTTGAACAACCTACGAAGTATGACGGAAGCCAATAGCTTGGACGCAATCGGAAGTAGACTTATCCCCCGATAGTTGTTACAGGAACGACGTGAACCCTTTTTAAAGATAGGGACAACTATCGACTCATTCCATGACGTTGGTACACTCTCTAGTTCCCAAACCTTTGTAAACAACGTCGTCAATTCCTTAGTCAAAAAGTCACCACCATCTTTAAAAAGAGCCGGAGGTAAGTCATCTGGGCCAGGTGATTTGTAACGCTTCAAGAGTTGGAGTTCCTTGCGGACTTCCTCCTCATTTGGTGGATCAGTCGTCACCGGCCATGGAGGGCAGGACAGTCTGACCGATGTTGCCGGAGCAGCAGGCCAGTTGAACTGCCCTTCGAAAAATTCTGCCCATCGTCCAAGACGTCGATGGATGTTAGTGATTGGCATCCCATCATCCTCGCAGATTGTTTCACTCACACCAGACTTCTTGCTGCCAGTGGCTCGGATGAGTTGGAAGAGCTTCCGGTAGTTACCAGATGCAGCTGCTGCTTCCAGCTCATTAGCACGCTCCGACCACCAGGCTTCTCGGTCCTTACGCAAGCTTTGCCCAATTTCCTTACGTAACATCCTTCGTTTATGGTCAAACTCACGGTCACCCGGAGTAGACCGACGGGCTTCAATGAGTTGTAAGGAACCAGAAGAAACCCAGTGCTTAAAAGCGGGACGTTTCGCAAACCCACAACTGACTGTTCCCGCCATTTTCATGGCGTCATGCAATTGCAACCAATGCTCATCTATACTTTTCGGTGGAGTGGTAGCTAGCCTAGAGGCTAGCTCGGTTCGATACTTACTTGCAACAGAAGTTGCAACCAGCTTGCTAACATCAATCCGTTGGTGGCGTCACTTCGTTGTCCACTGAAAAGTAAGGCAAGATTGGCGCAGACCAAGGCATGGTCAGAGTCCAGATAGGTACTCCAAAAGGAGCGGCAGTCTTGTACACAACCACGCCAGCGGTAGCTGATCGCGATGTGATCAATCTGAGTCCAGGCTTGAGATGCAGAGGGAGGACGCCAGGTGGCACATCGGCGATGACTGTGCCGAAAGTTAGTGCTAGCCAGAAACAGGTTGTGGTCTGTGCAAAGTTGCAGTAGACGGTCCCCGTTATCTGACCTGCGACCAACGAGTCCCCATCGGCCACCTAAACGACTCTCTTCTGTGCCTAGACGCCCGACCTGAGCATTCAAGTCTCCGGCTAGTACTACAATATCTGTCGAACGCACTTTCTGGAGAAGAACAGATAACTGGTGGTAAAACTCATCCTTGATTGCATCCGGGCTGCAATCTGTCGGGGCATAGGCGGAGATGACGAAAAGACATCGTTTCTCACGCCGATTTCTTCTCACTTTGATGGAACTTTCTAATCTAACAGCACATAACCGACTGTTAATGGGGATCCAATCGACTAGTGCTGCCTCAGCTCTAGCGCTTAGTGCGACACCAACGCCAGCAAGACCAGACGAAGATGCCACAGGGTCCCCGGATAAGCGCACGTAAAACAAGCTTTTCGAAGCGACAGATGGAGATCGAATTTGTAGTACTTCGCCAGAGTCTTGAATACGGGTCTCGGATAGACAACAACATCGATATTAAGACTTTCCAAAGACATAGCCAGCCCTATCTGTTGTCCGACCTGCATAAATGTGCGAACGTTGAAGGCAGCCAGTTTGAATGGTGCACGTGGTTTCAGAAAAACTGCTTCAGTACTCGTATTCGGTGGTAACATACAATTTTCAACCGGACAGTGACTCGAGAACGTTTAGATACAGTCGAATTTCCACCAAAGACGAGCCGCTGTATAAGTATAAAAGAGGGTGAATAATGTGGTAAATAATAATAATAATAATAATAATAATAATAATAATAATAATAATAATAATAATAATAATAATAAGTTGATTGTTAGTTGAGGCAAGTAAAGTAGTTTCCATAATTATAGTCCATTCATCATTTTGTGTGTGGGCTGTGATACTGCCCGGGTGCCCAGACCGAAGCAGGTGGTTTTCTTAGGGGGCCGCACCCCGGGCCTTTGACCTAATGGACTAACCCACAAGGCAGTGGAGCATCGTAAGGAGATGCAGTCCCATGGTAGCCGGTGACCAACGATTGGTTCATACGCCATTTGTTCCCTCAGGATACTGGTGCCCATGTGCACCATTGGTTCGGGATCCGGTTAAAGCGCCGAACATTCGCTTTTCGTCCTCTCATTTTCGTAAACAACACCCCCGCCACGAGAAGGCAATGAGTAGGACTTCCCTGGCAGAGGCTGTATACGCGTAGCCGTGTGAGAGTATTTCGAGAGGGAGAGCGGACTCTCTGCCGTACCAGGGCATTTGGGGGCAAAAGTCACAGCTTAACCTGGTCCAGTCCATTTCCAATTGAACTCATAAAAGTAATGTCATTTACATTCACGAAGTATGGTAGCTCAAAAAGTTTCGTTTCTGTAAGGTTCTACGTTATGTTTATCTATTTCTATGTACGCTTAAGATGACTGTGTTGTTTTGGTATACTGGATTAATCTAAATATCTTTGAGGAACCGTGATATATATACTAAATACTTAATATTCAGAACGGGTTTCGTTTTACAAATCACAGTTCACTAAGTTGGTTTGGAGTGATAGTCGTCAAAGAGATTTTACCGACTTTATCATATGGTTATGTCTTTTTCCATGTTCCTTGTTTATGTTTTTAGCTGTACATGGTAACCATTAACAGTTTTCACTAATGTACCGGAACAACTCTGTGATATCAAATTCGTCGGACTCGCCACAGACATCCCAGCCTTACTACTCTAGAATTCTCTTACCAAAAGTGTCGGGTAATGGTCCAATAAATCATTCTCAAAGGCGACACTCTCTTTTAAATGGTTCAAGTTCAACATCCTCAGACCGTTCTAAACAATCACTAGTTTCAGCCTATTTTGGTCGAAGTCGAACACTACACAGGGATTCCCCAAGTTATATGCCGACTATCTTTAACTTCCAGCCTTTAAATGGTTACCATTCTCCAGTTCTGAAACGTCGCGTTTGTCGGACTGAGAGCACAAAGGCAAACTTATTTGGGACTCCTGAGCCACCTAATTCAGATATAGCCATTAAACATGGTTTACGTGTTTTCGAGTCGAAAAAGCGTGCTCGTGAACTTTCTGATATAACTGTTACTACAGAGGAATCATCGCAAGATGAATCAGACTTTGGAAATTCTAAGCGTCGAAAAACATCTAGGACATTCGATATATCTACCGTGGGGTGCACACACGATGTCGACGGCTTTTCCTTCACATCCTTGCGTCAACTCAATAGCGGAAATGCAGTTGGGGTTACTGCCTGTGCCACTGATAATAGATTACTATCCAAAGTGAGCGATCGAAATAGCAAATCCGTTCAGACGCAAGTTTTGAATGAGTGCGAAGATGATAGAACAGTTTCAACCACATCATCTGCGGGGAGTGTTAAACCGTCCCTAAATAATATTTTTGGATCTGCTGCAGCTCTGAGAAGAAAGATTCCATACATGTCACCATCTGAACTTGAAGCCCATTTGTTGTCTACTAAGGCTTTAACATATACGAGTCAGTATGCTCTAGAGAATCACACCTCAGAAGCAGGTGATTTTAATTCTATTGATTTGGATACATCACCTTTCAGTATTCAAGAAAAAAAGTCACTGCTCGTAGGATTGCAACTGAAAACAACCAAACCGTAGAGGATTCAACTCAGTCGTCTTCAAATAATGTTGGACCACCACTAGTTACTAATATAACTTGTTACGATGAGAAATCAGAGACTGACAGTTCAGAACTCCCAGTTGTTCAGCCGACATCCTTAAATCGCTTTATTGCAAACCTTGAAAGTCATTCAAACCTATTTCTTAATAAGATGAGTCAGTCACAGATTAAGACTGCTTCTGCGGGATTTGATGTGGAATCACGTGTGAAACGTATTCGTGAACTGATCTCAGCCAAATCTAGTAATAATTCGAGCAGTTCATGTGGTTATAGTACTCACTCTACTATCAGTTCTATTACAAGTACTAGCTATTGTAGTCCCATCACTCAAATCCTAGCTAGTTCAAATTCATCTCCTATAGTTTCTACCATATCATCGTCACTGCCTAGTGCTCATTCAACATCTGGCGTAAGTTTCATGTCAGTCATTGTATGTAACACTTCTGCATCAGTTCAGAATATCACCTCCATTAGCAATCCATTGGCATCTTCAACCACTTCCAAACATTTCAGTTTTCCTGTAATTAGTTCAGTTAGTGAAGTTATCAGTACTCAAGCTGTTATCCCAACATCTATTACCGTTACTTCTATAGTAAGTCTACCTGGTAGCATACGTTTTGGTTTTACTTCTACATCCAACATATCTTCTCCATCCGCCCCACTGACTAGTGCAAGTACAGTATTAGCAACTGCCGTTACATCAGTTTCATTTTCTTTCTCTACTGCTTCTACCGCCCACGTATCAATTTTGAAGGAACCAACAATCATTTCAACAATAGCTGTAACTACGTCAGCTTCAGTCTCACATCCAATATTTCCATTAGTTACCAATTTCAGTGCTGTCTCAACATCTGAAAGTAATTCTGCAGTAGTTCCATCTTCCATATTTACTTTTCCGACCAGCACGATAACTACATCTGCCACAATAATTTCTGCAACGGCGACAACAACAGCAACACAGAAGATCACTCCTGCTTTCTCTTTTTCATTTCCACCCACTTCATCGACTCCTTTACAGACGACTAGTAAGTTCTTAAATGTAATCATCTCCGAAATTCTTTGGTAACAATATAGCCATTGTTCACGATTTTATCTGTTGTTTAATATTTACAATCAAAGTTGAATCTATGCATGTACATAGGAAAATCATTTTAAAACACTATGAAGCTGTTATGTCCCCAAATGCCCTCTGAATGTCTTCATTGATACAAGTTAACTAAATTAATCCGTTTATTTATAAAGTATGATGGAATGTTTGGATGACCATCATAGTAATGGATTATGATACGATCGATTACTAAACGTTTTAATTTTGAACATTTATAGAGAGCCTATCCTTGCGATAGTTAAAGCCTTCACTAGAGGTTGCTATGTATTATCACTTCTATCCTTTCATTGATTGTATTTGATTATAAATGAAAATAGCTACCCACTATTTGTGTTGATCGAAAATTTAGAATTCAGTTTGCAAAGCTATTAAAATACATGCTGTCTACTTATTTATTATTTATTTTATTTATTTAAACACATAAACATTTGTATAAGAAGGCACTAAATATATATGCGACACACTTCGTCATTCGATGTGTGTGGGGGCTGGAGTGCCACCCGGGCGCTCAAACCAAAGCATGTTATCCAACCACTAAATTTATATTTTGGCAAACTGTACGTTGATTATGATTAACTGACTGGCTAAATCCATATTCTGATTTATTCCCCATGTGTGTTCATGTATACATTAAGGTTTATAAATACTGAGGTGTGACGTAATCATTGTTAAAACCTGTATTGAAGTATAGGTTTCTTTTTTGCAACCACCGTAAGTCTAGCTACATAATCTGTTTTACCGATAGCTTATTCAAGCATTCTTACTAATATTATATTATTTATTTTCCTTTTTTATGGGGGAGTAATATGAACTCTGCTTAGGCACGAATCGAGTGATGAGGCAACTTAATGTTTGTATTGATTTATTAAATTTAACGGGTATCTGTTTTGTATATTTAACAGAAAAACGTGAAATTTAAACATACAAACATTCCCAAACTACGCTCACATATTGCATTGGGTAGAAGCGGCTTCAATTACTTGTGTGTTGATGTAGTAGCTGAATTTCCCTTTAAATGATTTTCGCTAGAGGCAGTGGACCTTTTTTGCTTCCCAACATAGCTCATTTACCAAATACATATACTAGTGTACTTGGCTTCGGGACACACTTTAGTTATGATTAGTAATGCTACCGGTTGCTAAGACTGAAATGGACGGAAGGGGATTCCAACCTCTAGTCCAATGGCCAGAAGCCATACGCCTTAACCACTGAATTAGCACTTTGCTTTTCTGATCGTTAAGATAATGTGGCGGAGTACGGTATCAAGCCGTCAACATCACATTATCTTGTTTGTCTCATATTACTGTCCTGCCGTTCATACATTTATGCAGTGAGATGTCGTCTATGAAATTACCAAGCAGGTTTAGGATATATGATATTTAGAGATCGCCAAACGACCGTTCTAAGGTGCTATTCGTAGTATAAACATCCAGTTCATCGACAGTGTCAGGATCAAACTTTTAGATGAATGTTGCCACTAAATAAAATTTATAACCTCTTAACTAACTGAAAATGAATGTGAGATTATGAGATGTTACATAGTTAAGAAGAATCTCAATATCAGCAGTTAAGATACCTAAGGAAAAACATAATTGGGGTCAATAGAATCGATAATTTTGTCCATGATATTGGTGTCACTAATTTGGATTTGGTTAACTTATTGGTTTTAAGATATAATTGCATCCATTTTGAACAGGATTTGGATGCAAGCTCTCATTTAATTTCATTCATATGTATTCTCTAGGTTCAAACTTATCATCAACAGCAAATCTTAGTTCAAGTGTTTTTGAACCTTTGAAGCCTATTTCTACATTCAGTGGGTTTTCTTTTCCGAAACCAGCTATTACATCATCGGCTAGTGTTCCTACTAGTAATCCATCATCGGTAGCTGAAAATATAGTTCAGTCCGACAGTAGCAGACCGTTTACTTTTGGTTCAGTTAATTCCCAACCCATTTCTACGGCTTCCATTTTTACATTTGGAGCGTCGACAGTGACTGCATCCTCACTAAAACCAGTCTCATCCGTTAGTTTTGGATCAACTTCTATACCATCATTTCTGGGATCGTTTTCCAACTCTGGACCTGTGTCAAGTAGTTTTGTCTTTGGTGCTAACGTGTCTAAACCTTCATCAACCATTTCAAGCGGTGCTTTTGGTCAGATAACTGGTACCACGTCATCACTAAATACTGTAGCAAATAATGTTGGTTTGTTTACCTTTACATCCCCAATTACTAGTACTTCTGGCGTGTCATTATTTGGATCGAATTCTGTTAACATCAGTTCCACAACTGTATCACTTCCCACAAACACGTCTGTATCTGATTTCAGTTCAACTACGATAAACCCATTACTTAATCCAGTGTCTACAACATTTTCAACAAACTCCTTTACTCTTGGAATTAAACCAGCAAATGTAACTCCTGCCAAAACTACATCTTTATTTGGAGCTAGTAATTCGATTTTCGAGACTCCTAATACATCATCTTTAAAATTCAATTTTAATCAGTTAACTTCTAGCGCCTCATCTAATGTAGCCATCACCAGTGGATTGTCGTTTGGTACGACAATTGTGACTACAACTGTAACTTCTGTAACTCCTGCTAGTACATTATTTCAGTTCGGTAGTTTCAGTTCTAATTCAAAGCCATCTGCAGCTTCCGTTTCTCAACCACTCTCTTTTGGTTCATCAGTGCCTCAATTTTCGTTTGGCCAGCACTTCACACCTGCATGTTCACAACCGAGCACCCTACCAACTTTGTCATTTTCCTCGCTTAATTCGGGTCCCATAACTACTACCACTAACTCGTTTCAATTCTCTTCAACTCCCGTATTTTCTAATATTAATCCGCCAACTAATTTTAGTGGCTTTAATTTCTCTCTACCCCAAACATCTACACCAAGTGTAATTACACCTCAAACAAATGCTTGTTTTGTTTTTGGTCAAACACCGTTAAGTACTGGCGTTGCTAATTCCAATCCATTCACCTTTAATACATCTTCAACTAGTCCTCCATCTAATGCTCCGAATGCGCCTCGACGTCGACCACTTTCAAGCAGACGCTCTCGTCGTCCATAATTTTCTTTGTTTATAATGATGTAATTATATTCTTATTGTTTTATCAGATGAAACATAAACTGGACAGTATTTTTTCATTAGAGTTATTGTGCTTGCACTTGCGTGTGTGCTTGTGTAAGCACTAAAAGATTAGCGTTCTAATCGGAACAAAGTCAAACTTTTTTGTTGTTAATTGCAGTTGTGTAAATGACGTTAGTTGTTTTCCGCTTATTTTTACGTGATGCCGTTTGAAACTATATACATATATTCTCCCTCTTCGAATAAATGCAAACTTTCTTAATGTGTATATGTAAAAACATATTGAGTTAGTTACTGTATATTCCCTATTTTCCCCTTTGGCTTTTATTTTCAATCCCATACGAAAATTATTCCTAACGTTTTTTGAAGAGGGGGAATGATATTGCAAGTGTCACTACAAGCTGATATGTAATATGTAATTACCAATTGCTATTATTATGCTTGGAAAAGATTAGTTTGTTTTTATTCATTTCTCATTTTGTTTTGTTTAACAAAACCATGAATACAGTGAGTTCGTATAGAAGAACTAGTGTTTTCAGTTAAGCATACAGTAATGTGCTCCGGTAATGCATTAAATTACCAATATTATAGGCCTTTTAAATAAGGGGGTTTTATGAAACTGTATTTTCCCGTGGATTTATGCAGTGTTTTGTTCACTAAGAACGGTGATCGATGAAAGAGGAGATAACCTTTTTAATGATATGAAATATGTTCGATTTACCCTTTGTCCCTCTGACTTACGACCAATCGAAAACGCATTTTTCTGAACGCATGATGAGTCTACTTTTAACAAATACTGTAATTTTTCGAATTTGGTAACAAATTGTCAATAAAGCAATTAGTCCTTTTCATAAATTTCGATAAAGCAATGAGAAGACTGAGTTGATCTTATCAATTCCATCTTCAAGGTCTGAGGGCGAAGTCGTACTGCTGACTGTAGAGGGGTGTGACAGCAGTAAGGTGTTTCCCTCGGACAACCAGCATGACAGCGATGCTGCCTTCCCACAAGGAGGGGTGGGGTTAGAAAAGGTCGACCCTAAAAATGTCACACCTTACCTCACGGATTTCCGTCTCCGGCGGTAAGGCCCTTTGAAGAACGGAGCTAACACGTTAAAAACCTTCCACGAAAAGGCCGTGCGCGACCGGCCTCAAGCAGTTGTCCCTTGGGCTCTGCGGTCACGCTCCCAGGTCGCTAAGACCAACACTAATCCAATTTCCTTTTCAGGTTCCTCAAGAAATACCCTTCCACGGTGTGGGCAGCCGGGAAGTGATATCAGCCCTCATACCCGTAACAGCACACGAGACCAAGTTGGTCACATTCAAATCCTTCCTACACCTCCTAATACCTCTCTTATCTCCATGACTAACCCTCCTCACGTCTCTTTATCACCTCGCACCGCTAGGGCAAACGATTCGAGTACGCGGAACGCTATTCCTGGTCTCCTGAAACCACGCTCTAAACTACACGTAGGAGCTTTTAACGTACGAACACTGTGCCAAATAGGACAACAGGCTTCCTTAGCTAGGACTTTAGAATCCCGCGCCATCGATGTGTGCTGCGTCTCCGAAACGCGCATACAGGATCCGAGTAGCGTCATTCATTTGACCTCACCATGCCAAAATAAAGAACCGACTCGATTCACACTTCGTGTATCTGGAAGCCCTGATTCTGCTTCCCGTGGCCTCGCCGGCGTAGGTATAGCATTGAGTCCTAGGGCAGAACTAGCTCTCTTAGAGTGGATCCCAGTAGACAGTCGTTTGTGCGCTGTCCGACTGAACGGAACAGTAAGGATCCGAAAAGATAGGGACACTCGTCGTTGCCTCTTCGTCGTCTCTGCCTATTCTCCCACTGACTGCAGCTCAGATGATGTAAAAGATGAGTTTTACAGAAAGCTCTCGGACCTCCTTAAAGCTAGGCGCTCGGATGTAGTAATAGTGGCCGGTGACTTTAATGCTCAAGTAGGTAAACTAAGCGATAGGGAAAGACACCTAGGTGGATCTTATGGTCGTGGCTCAAAGAACAGATAATGGCGACCGTCTGTTGCAGCTATGCTCAGATAACCGCCTGTTCCTTGCAAATACTAACTTTAAGCATAAGGAAAAACATCTTTTAACATGGCGACCCCCTAATTCGTCCCAACGTTGGACCCAAATAGATCACATCGCTATCAGCCACCGATGGAGGGGCTCGATAGAAGACTGTCGCTCATTCTGGAGCACATGCTTAGATTCAGATCATGCTCTAGTGCGAGCGCGTATTTGCTTGCGTCTTACTGGACGTAGGAAAGACGCTGCAAGGAAACCTCTTAGGGCCTACTTAATGATAGTCAAGCTAAGAGTATATTTCAGGAACAACTAGGAAAACAGTTAGGCAGCCATGTATGTGATGCCCACCCCGAGGCAGCATGGAATGATATCCGAAAAGCTGTGGAAACAGCAGTGATATCTGCTAGTAAGGTAAACCGAAGGTTAGGGAGCAACACTGGATCTCAGCAGCATCTATCGCACTGATAGATGCTCGGAAACTCATTCCACCTGGCTCTGAACATAATGAAGAGCGGAGTCAGCTTAAGCGCAAGCTGACAAGAAGTCTACGCAATGATCGCGAACAGTGGTGGGTAGCGAAAGCAAGAGAGATGGAAAAGGCAGCGGCAATAGGTAATAGCAGACAATTGTTCAGACTCGTTAAGGAAACCGGAATTAGGAACCGACCGTTAGCGAAACAATCTCAGAGAAAGATGGACATATTATACATTCTCAATCCAGGAGATTGGATCGATGGGCAGAACACTTCAGGGATCAGCCACACTTCGGTTTCCCACGATCTCCAGTCAACCTGAATGGCAAGTTAATGTAGGTCCTCCGTCTCTTTACGAAGTTGAAAAAGCCATAGGAAATCTGAAACGAGGGAGAGCAGCAGGCCCTGACAGGTTTACTCCTGAGATTTTTAAGGATGGTGGTCCAGTATTAGCAATGAGATTAACTGAGGTCTTAGGTAGAATTTGGGAACTGGACGTAATCCCATCTGACTGGTCTCAATCACTGATTGTGCCAGTCTATAAGAAAGGACAAAAGTCCTCTTGTGACAATCACAGAGGAATCAGTTTGACTAATATAGTGTCTAAAATATTAGCTTCAATAATACTTCGACGCCTAACTAAAGCTCGTGAAGAGCAGACTAGAGAAAACCAGGCTGGTTTTCGACCTGGACGTGGTTGTATAGATCAGATATTCACACTACGTCAGGTTCTAGAACACAGACACACATTCAGACGCCCCACAATGGTAGTATTTCTCGACCTTAAGGCGGCATTCGACTCTGTTGATCGTGAGGTTCTATGGCAGTGTTTGTCACTGAAAGGAGTACCAAAGAAGTACATTAACCTTATAAAGGCTCTCTACTCGAACACAACTGGTCGAGTGAGAGCTTATGGCGAACTGTCATCAGAATTGATTACCTCAAGTGGTGTTCGTCAGGGCTGTCCACTCTCCCCATTCTTGTTCAACTTTGTCGACGTACTTTTAGAGATAACACTCTCCTCATCTAAATTTCCAGGGGTTGAACTTCTACCGGGAGGTTCACTTGTTGACTTAGAATATGCTGATGACATAGTTTTATTTGGTGAAGACGCTGACAAAATGCAGAGTCTTCTGACCACTCTAAGCAACAATGCAAGCATGTTCGGGATGCGATTCTCTCCCTCGAAATGCAAAATGTTGCTTCAGGATTGGGTTACATCGACACCCGAACTAATGATAGGGAGTGAAGTAGTTGAGTGTGTCGACCGCTTCACTTATCTTGGAAGTCTCATCAGCCCTTGTGGTTGGTGTGTGACGAAATCTCAGCACGGATACAGAAGGCTCGACTAGCTTTTGCCAACTTGCGTCATTTATGGCGTAGGCGAGATATCCGTCTATCAACCAAAGGACGTGTTTACTGCGCAGCAGTTCGTTCCGTCCTACTTTATGGCAGTGAAACATGGCCGGTAAGAGTAGAGGATATTCGTAGGTTACTAGTATTTGATCATAGGTGTCTTCGAAATATTGCTCGTATATCATGGGACCATCGAGTAAGTAACAGTTGTTAGGAAACGGGTACTAGGTAAGGATGGCAAATCAATTGATGACGTAGTGAAACTTCATCAGTTGAGATGGCTGGGACACGTGTTACGTATGCCCAACGACCGACTGCCTCGACGTGCTATGTTCAGTGGTATAGGAGTAGGTTGGAAGAAAGCTAGGGGCGGCCAACCAAAACATGGCACAAGTCCATGAAGTCACTGACAAGTGAACTGAGTCATGTTGGTAGGTGTAGACTACCTGGTTGGGGACCGCGAGATGATAGCAACCGATGGTTAGAGACCCTGAATGACATGGCTCAAAATCGTTTGCAATGGCGCAGGTGCATCCACTCTTTGTGTTCTCCCAAATTTTGATCTCTTATTCCTCTTGTCTCTTTTTTCTCCTCTCAAATTTATTTCACTGTTTATACTCTTTAAATAACATCTCCAAACACTAATCTTCCCGATTACTGCTTATACTCTTATTACCTCTACCACTACGGGATTTGAATCGACCACTGCATCTCTGTGCTAATGTGGTGTGGCAACTCGAACTGATGTACGTACGTACGAAGTTCTACGTTGTTACTGACTGACTGACTGATTCCATCTTCAAATTATTATTACTTTAGTTATGTTATCTCATACGTCTATTTCGAGCAGTTGTGATATAACCTGTCAAAAGGGATGTTTGTTTGTGTGTGTGTGTATGTTGGATTCCCAACAGATCAAGATTTTGTTAGAGAACTTCAGTCGACCGAAAATGTAAAAATCATAGACTTGATTACGCTTTAGTATTTTCAGTGAAAATGTAATGATACATAAAATAAATTTATATCTATTTATTTCGAAATAAAATATCTGATTGAAGTTCAAAATGAAACACTTCTATATGAAGTAGACTAATTTCATTTTAGGTTA